TATGTGGGGAGATAAACTAGGCCATATTTTATTTATTAGCCATAACTGCCTGGATTTCCAGGATTTTTTTTTCTATACTTGTCTGGATTTCCATATTCTGTTTCTCCATATACAGTTGGAATTCCGGGGTATTTTCCTCATCATACAGTGCTGGAAATCCGACCTCATCAACAGGGGAGTGCAAATATAAACTGGAATGGCCCAATATATGAACATGGCAATGAGTCCTCGCTGCTTAATTTGATGTTGAACACAAGTTGATATAAATGACAATCACTAGTATAATTTGTGCTTGCTAGTTTTGATGAACAATCATCAAAACATTTTTTTGCACTTTCTCTATCATTAGTGTATATGACTATAAATATTTACCGGGGTACTGTTAATGCGTAAATAATCTGCTGGGCACTGTTGCAATTTACATCACTGTTTTGCTTACAATATTGCTAAACATCTAGCAGTATTGCTTATCAATTAATTAAGGTAAAACAAAAAAGTGCAACAATAATTCATTATCTAGCTGAACATTATCATAGTATACATAATATAACTACTGTGTATACCATCTTTATACAGCAGAGCTGAGAATATATCATTTTTGGAAATATAATTCAACTTTTGTGTTACCTTTTCTTTTTTGCATCAATTGCTTCCAATATAGGTTGCCTTTTTGCTTGGTAACGTTTCCGAAGTTCTTCTATTTCTCTTTCCATTTCAGGATCTAAAGAATTTAAACGGGTTTTCAGATCCTCATAACTCATAGATTTTAACTGCAAAACAACAAAATATTGGTTTTATATTGTGATATGTATATTTCTAATAATTCCATTGTTGCTATGTGACATACTTTACAACAGTTTGATTCACTGTGTCAACTTGAACCATAGTAAATATTAGAAATGGACGCCTTCCAAAATAACAACATAATTACAGGTTAGAGAAATACAAGTCAAATCCAGTTTTTGGTGACTGAATTTTAAAATTGTAATGAGTTTATAAAATACAGTCAGTTGTGTATCAATTGACCGGCCACGAGTTTAGGAATTTTCGAAGTCGGTAAGCTTAAATTTAATTTGGTTTGTTACTGGCTAATATGCATATACATATAGCTCTGTTGTTTGAGATGCACATGAACACATCATCTTTTAGAAATATATGTAGTATTTTACAACAAGAACAGTATGCTGACTGGCAAACAAAACCATTTCCAATTCCAAAATTTTATTTCAAATTATTTCATCTTTTTTTCTTCAAATTACTGATACAAATGCCATTTTACTTTAACATTATATTTATAGAATATTCCTTAAAATAGTAACTTTTGAATAATACACTGTCAATTTTCACAAAATATCATACTTCAACACAAAACATAAATATAGTTTCATTTTACCATGAGACTATAGCTTCAAAATTGTACATAATAAACATAGTCATGTGATTTATAACCTTGGCAACTAAGAATTTGACATCAAAAAGACATTTACATTACAAATACTCACAAATTCAAAATCTCCCTCTGTAAACGGTCTACCAAATGATCTTTGACTGTCTCTGTCTTCACCAATTGGCACTGTGGGTTGTTGTGACTGGATACTACTACTACTACTACTACCAGTACTTCCTGCTGTGTTACCAAGACGTTCTCTGTCAAGTTTATCAAAGTGTTCTAAAAATGATGGTGTGTACTTCTCTCCAGACCCAGAAGAGATTTCTGTAATTATTATCAAGTTATACAGATAGTTACCCAAATGATATATATCATGTTGGCATTATTATATGACAGTGATAAGTGAAATGTACAATCAAGCAGATACATGCTTCATCTACGGAAATTACCCCGGTAATTAAGCACGACAAACACAAAACAGTAACATGAAAATAAGATACACATGTATGTTATTTAGCATACACACCCAACCAACCAAATTTTTTACTACACAGGGATACCTTGTTGAAGCGTACTGACTTACTTTTCATGGTAGAATCATCATCGTCGTCTTCATCAGAATTAATCACCATGGTACCTATATCAGATTCAATCATAGTACCACTATCACCATGGTCAACCATTGTGCCATGCTCTACCATAGTACCTGCATTGCTATCTCGCGGAATCATTGTACCACTGTCTATTTCATCTTCTTCCTGATAATA